AGTAGAGCTAAAATTTAGAAAAATAAAACTATTAAATTTTTTATAGTAATTGATAAATATTAAAAAACATTGGATATCTCTTATCATTCTTAAAATTTTATAATCTATAATAACTTAAACTTTCTTAGGATCCATAATAAGGTCTTATTTTTAAATAATATATTCTAAAAAGTTAAATTAAATAATATAAAATACACACTTCTTTATCTTGGTATATAATCTTATATTTTTAAGTTTATGTAATATGAAAAAAATATAAAAAAATTATTCTTGTATACTCTTAGAGTAAATTAAAATATTATCTTAATAATAAACAATAAAATCATCTTAAAAAATCTTAAAAAATCTTAAAAGATATCATTTATTAGATGTTGAAAAATAGCTAGTGCATTTGTGAATACAAAAGATATGACATCGTATTCAAAATGTCCATATATGATTCAAAACGTAATATTTTATTTATTTTTTCTCTTATTGTATATTAAGTTTAATGCTCCTTGTAGATCTATTTTGATATAGATCTTAGTTTAATTTGATTAATTAAAAATTCTAGATATTAAAGATAGAGAGTACCTATCCTTAGTAGTGATCTTATTAAATATTTATTATTCTACACATATTTGTAGTAATCCATCTATATTTTTACTGGTATGAGCTCTTGCTAGAAATTTTAAATAGCGTATGAAATTCTTAACCATGTTTTCATACATGTAATCATTGAATTTGGATAATTTATTTTTAGTCATAAACTATAGATTGGTCCAAATGGTAGTCTTCTTCTTAAAAGATAATTGAACAATTATAAGAACAATGCTTTGAAAGAATATATGTATTTTTTATTTTAAAAGTATTTTAATATTCTTAATATTAGCTTAGTATCCTACATGAATCTTTTTTGCCATTAAAAATGATGTAGCATAAATATAAAAAAAATAAATTTTTTTGCAACATGCATGAATGTTCTTGCACTTACAAAATAGAATTTAGTTGTACTAGACTTATATCTTTTGACTTAGTGAACAAAATTCTTTATTATACTTTGGAAAAAATCAAGACTATAAGAAATTTAATCTATCTAAGAATTATATTTTTTTATCTATGATAAATTAAAAATAACTAGATAAATAAAGATCTATTTATAATAAATATCATGAAGCTATTGTTGCCATTGTTTTCTACATTTGTAAGAAAGGTTTTATGGATAACATTTCTAAAAAATAATAAATGATCATCTATTACTTCTATGTTTACATATTTGGTTTTCTTTCTTAAAAGTATGCTATAACTTTTAACACACTTTTCATCTAAGAAATAAGTTGAGGCTCCTCAATTTAATAAGATAGAGGCTTTATGATTTATAAGTTCTAAACAAATACCTATTGTAAAACAAAGAGTTGATTTGAAGGAGAAAAAATGACCTTCATTAGGTATTGTATAAAATTCCAATTTCATAGACTCTATTATAATTTGAATATATATTTTATTTTTTTTTATAGCCATATTCGTCATTTTCAAGTTGTATTATTGTTTTAGACTATATTCAATAGTGTGCTTAGGTTCTCTATAGTATAAGTACAATCTTTCTTAATAATAGTAAGTCTTTTCTTATTTAGTAAGAAATTTAAAGTATATTGTATCAACTTATATGTCTTTTATTTTTAAATAAATATATTAAAAAGACATTGGTATTTCCATTAAATTGTAAAAATATTGAAGTCCACTTATGCAATTCTTATATTAAAATTCAAGAAGACAATTGTCATATTTTATTGCAAAATTCATTGCTTGACTCAATTTCTCAAAGTCAAGTAAATTAGAATCAATTTTTTTTATCTAGTATTGTTATTTATAAAGAAATTAATTGATGAGTGCAACATTATCCTAGTAGATATTAATTATAAGTTATCAAAATTATAAAACATATAAAATTATTCATTAATTTTTTTATTGTACAAAACAAATATTTTTGATTTCAACACAAATTATATCATGTTTCTTGTACATGGATCAACACTCTACAAAAAAATGTCTACATAAACCAATATTGAATCACATTGTTTAAGAAAATATGAAAACCATGATAAAGTAAAATCTAAAAGTAGTAATTTAACATATTTGACTTGTGATTTTAGAATTAGATAGCTTTTAGATTGAAGTTTAATCAAAGTTATATTTAATTGATGAATCTTCAAAACTTTGATCTTATACCATTAAACTTTTCAAGCAAGGCAATTCTTGGTTTTCTAATGCTTAAATAATATTCCATTATAGAAGAAGTAATATGATTTGGTGTAGATGTTAAATTAACTTTAATCATTTCTATATCTTTACTTCTTGTCAATCTTGTTGCTCTTTGTAGTAGTAAATTGAGTTGATACATTACAAGCATTAACACCCTCAATTGCTCTTGCATTTGTATTATTGCATTTTTCATTTCAACAAGCTTTGCTATGATAATGTAATATAAAAAAAAAAAATGTTTAATATCACTGAAGATATGTAGAAGAAAAGAATCAAGAAAAATAAAAATTCTAAGAATAATATCAATTTAAAAGTGGATAATCTACAGCTTCTAATATGCTTATGTCTTATCAATAAAAACAAGTAGTTCATTCTCAATATAAAAAAGACAAAAGTATAATATTATAAGACTTCTTATTAGTTTGTTAGAGATAAGAATTTAAAAAATAAAAATAAACAAGTGAGATATTTTTCAAAAAGAAATAACAAAAAAGAAATAATCTTGTCTTTATATGTACTATCTAATTAGAAGCTATAAAAGCAACATTCTGCAAGACCTTCAACATATATCCAACTTATATGATGTATGTTTAATTTTCAAGATAATTTTTTTTATATGTATGCCACATATCCAATTTGTACTACAAGTAGTCAATATGTACAACATATAGTCAAATTATCTAGGTAATTTTTTGAAAAAATATATATGTTTGTGACACCATGTAGTGCACATATTAGAAACTTACCTTACAAGTTAGACACATGTCTTGTAAGTTGGATATGTATTGGATGATCTATTGAATATTACTTTTTTTCACTTTTGTCAATTCTTTGTTAGCTTTTAGTCTAGTTTCAAAAGTCGATAACTTTCTTGTTTTTAGCAATAGTCATTTGAGTTTCTTTTTGAATAAATATACTTTTTTATTTCTTTTATGTCATCTTTCTTTAAGATACATCTCATATATTTAATCACATTTTTAAGTTCTTATTTTTGACAAGTATTTACTTCTAATAATATTAGAAAGTTTAAAAAATATCTTTTGAAATTGTAGTACTTAACATATTACAATTCATAATCTATTTAAAAAGTAGTTTTTTCGATAGATTGTGATAGTAGGAAATAAAAATTTATGGTAGTATTAGCAATATCTCAAATTATTTTTATTATTAATATCATTATTATTTTATATTTTATATTATCTTATTACTACTATTAATATTTTTTATATTATTTGAATAGATGTTGTTGATAAGAGGAATAAAAAAAATATTATATTTCTAAAAATCTTAAAAGACTTCTACATGTATTTACTAATATTATATTTTTTGCTATACTTATGATATTCCAATTTATTTTTGGTCCATATATAACTTCAAGATTTTTTTTACTTTAAAATTTTGATTGTTATTTATCTCATAAGAAGCAATGCTAATTTTTTATTCTTTATATGTTAATTATTTTATAAAGTATAAGAAAGAAGGTATATATATATTTTATTTTTTATTTTTGAGTATATATCTTTTTTACTTAAAAAAACTATCAAATGATTTTCTCTAAAAAATTGTGTTAATTTGTTTTACAATCTAACATATTATAATATCAATCAGTCTTCATACAACAATAAAAGAATACCTTACCACATAACCTATTTTAAATGAATGTTTTTTACTTTTAGAAAGATATCAATATTGGTCTTTTGTTGTTTTTAAATCATGTAGTTGTATATTTATTTTTGAATGAAGTTTTGATGATTTACTCCTTAAATCTTTTATTATAAGATTATTAAGTTTTTCAAAATATCTTAAAATCTTTTATATAATATAACAATTTTGATTAAAAACAATTGTATTTGTTAAATGAAAAGAGATATACATTCTTATAAAAATATTATAATGTTTAAAAAAAATTATTATTTTAATTATTAATTATATTACCACAAATATATATATATATATATATATATATATATATTTTTCTAAGTAGATATAATTTGTCTTTTTTATCATCATAATTTTACAAGGAATATTCTTGTAGTCCTAATAATTTGACAAGTTGCATAAATTTTGTTGCATTCTTTGAACATAGATGAAAAAATTTATAAAAACATCTCAAGTGTTCAAAATTGAATTTTTGTAAATTTTTAATATTCAGCAAAATATGTTTCTTTCAAAGAATCAAGTGTACATAAATCTTACATAGGAAGTTTGACTTGGACAACTTTTTGATTGCAATTCGTTGATATGTTAAATTTAATCGATAAATTCTCTGAAATTCCACATTATACTATCAAATTTCTTGTAAGAAGTGCATGTTCGTTTAATTTGATGATGCACAATATATTATCAATTGGGTATTGAAAGAACTGAAACTACTTTTAGTTAGTATGAACTCAATGTTAACGTGTAAAAATATGAGAAAAGGAGTAACCTTGAATAAAAGAATTGACGAGGATAACCAAGATTTCACTTTCATTTGTAATTTCAACTTTAAATACAAGTTACCACAGTTCTGACAACCAGTCTGAACAACATGTCATGATGCCTCTGTGGGTAAGCTTCTACATTCCTGATGAGGTTTCTACAAAGTTCTTGTTATTTTAGCAAAAGTTATATGGAAGTTTCAGAAATCATACGAGGATCTAAAACCAAGACATCTGTACTGCGCACGTATCAAAAGTCGATAAATTCCGGTTTATCAATTGAGGACCGCTCGCCTGCAGTCTATAAGGATTGATGATGAGAACAATGCAGCAGGTACCTTAAGAAATGCGGAGATATCAGCTCAAGCATATTTAAGTTTCATTTCAGCTGACTGTAGAAAGGCTTACTGAGACAAAAGTAAACCTAACAGCAAGACCCATTTACACTGTTTTGAAACGAAATTCTTAAACGTTAACCTACATGTCCTCATGCTGTATTGTGAAATGATAAAATCGAAACAGATACGAACCTAGCTCATTCAAACGAGGACATTTTAAAACAGCTTCATACCTAAGATCTCAAGGACACCATATCACAAGCAAGGGACTTGTGGATCTAGAACCCACACCAAGCTAAAATTTGGGTGATTCAGTGCAAGGGCTGCCCATGTAATCTACGACTCATAACAGGGGTGAAACCCACGGCTACCCTATTGCACCCCATTAAGTAACCTCCCAATGCAACCATGACGATGAGATCTTTGAAACAGTCACGTGTCTATAATATCACTAAAACTCAACGAATTTAGGCCGCCTTCTTGGCAATCTTCGCTTCCTCCTGTCTTGCCTTGATAAAAGAGTACAACGCCACTCCTCCAATAGCAATGGCTGTTCCGATCCCAGTCTGGGTCGAGATCTTGTTGCCTGCAAACCACCAATCCCGCCGTTACAAACCTTCTCACAACATCACTCCACTCTATTCCATTCTCCATACCCAACTCCTCCATCAACATTCCAACACGCCGCCACCCGTCCCCGCATCATCCTACACAACTCTGCTGCATGTCCCAACCTCCCCCTCACTCCACAAACACAACCACTTTGTCCACAAACTCACCGAACACCACGATGGAGAACCCGATCACAAACACTCGCTTCAACACGTTCCCCACGGCATGAGTCAGGGGAGCAACCCTTTCCAATGTGTTGTTAGCAAGCTGCACAACCCACCGCAACTCTTACTTCTCTTACACAACAAAAGCCACCAACATTCCATGACGCCTCCTGGCAAACTCGCCCCCTCATTCCACACTATCAGATGCAAGTCAAAACCAGACCCTTTAAATCCCTACGCCGCACTTAAGAAACCTATAGATCCGATAAATCGACATACCAAAGCCAGCTTAATCTTCATCAGTACTGTCATTTTCATAATTACTGAATCATAAGGGTACGGCATGAATCCATACCTGGTTGTACAGATGATAGAACATACCAACCCAGAACAAGTCTGAGAGAAACTTAGGCATGCCAACCTTCGCAATGCCAGAAGCAAAACCGCCGTTCATAAGTGCGGGGCCCTCGATCTGCAACACCACACAGATTAGCCCACTTCCTCATTATCAATCCAACCACAACCGAAACACGCCTATCGGTTGCTCGAGTGAGCATATTCATCGCAACCCAATCACTCCAGGTTTCCAATTCTCACAATGATCGCAGGTGGAATGCACAACGCCAACGAGATGATCGAGATGTACGCGTACAGGTTCGTGCTGTCCATTCCCGTCTGCACATCACACCACCATTGCTTCATGTCAGACTCACTCCCACACATTTCCCATTTCACCCTACCAACACCCGAACTACCACCCAACCCGCAACCCCCGTCCAACCTACTCCCACACTCATCACTTCCCTCACCACCTCCACCATCGCACCATTTCTCCCACAACATCATCGCCACAAACCCTACCACATGGGACTTCGCCATTGAACACAGCTGTGCATCTCAACTCAAACATTACCACCTCCCCACAGTCAACGCATGCCTGCATCTCTGCATGTTGCCACCCCACCCGTTCCTCGACCACACATCATCCTCATGTCCGTCACCCCCCGCGCACTTACCATGGCCTTCTTCGAGTAGATGTTCCTGTACGTGAACGCCACATTCGCCGTCATCGCGCTGATGAAACCCTTCCAGTTGAACGACAGCTCCGTCATCGACGCCATCGACACACCTGCCCATGTGCATCCCCACCAAGTCATCATTACCATCGACATCTACCACCACATAACCACCCCCCTCAAACAACTGGACCCATCCGCTCATCATCTGTGCTTCAGCTACTCCATTGCACAGTCCCACCTGCCTCGAAACATCAACATACTCAGGCCCGGGATTACTTACCGAGCACGATAGGTGTCAGGGACAACCACAGGGGCAGAGAGATCGACTGTCCCAGAACGAACTGCGATGCCGCGGCGCTGAAGAACGGCTCCAAAGCTGTCAACACAACGTCCGCACCTCTCAGCACCACAACCCACAGACAACATCCCACCATCACGCTTCCTCATCTCCTACGCTGCGACACACCACATATCCTGCCATGCGCTTCTACCATATTCGCTCTCATCCCCGCCTGCTTCCCACGTCACTCTATCCCTCCACTCGGAACACAAACCATCAACACTTGCAACTGACCCGCATGTTTCTATGCACACGTCCATGATCCAACGACATTTGTATCCCTCTTACACTTCCTTACCCTTGATCGTGTGTGTGAATGACACTGCAACTGCAGCGAATGACACGTTCGTCATCACGTGACCCAGGGCATGACAGATAGACACCGGAATCAACATCATAAATAGCTCCTTGTCAATAGGCTGCACCCACATCCACAAACATCCACCATCGTTAGCACTCCCTCGCACACCCGATCATACCGTGACGACAACCGCCCTTCATCAACTAACCCACACCAAGAGGGAGGTCACTGCACGTTATCATCATCAAAACTTGTGCACTGCACTTAAGCACAGTAATCCCACCACCTCGTACGTATCACTCGCATACCGCATTGCACCCATCTTCGGCTCATCATCGACAAAATTTCACATGAGCTCCGCTTTGCATGTTAGTAAGTTCAAAGTCGATAATGAACATTTTAAACTTACCGCCCGCTTCGGATATCCCAACATCCACGAAATCACACAGTAAGCAACGCCGACGGCCAAGTGGATAGCAGAGACAAAGCTGCACGCAACCGCGACCAGTACTGTATCAGCCTAAGTGCAAAGGCATCCGCTCAAGAGCCAGCTCACAGATCACCGCTCTACTGCCTGTTAGAGATATACACGAAGACGATCAAACCAATCCATACTTCGCGCAATGCTGCAACTACTGAGATGAAATGCAGAGGTACTGAAGACTTACTAGGGGTAGGGAAAATAGTTGTAGATCTTCTTGTTCATGATGTTGAAGATGACGTTCAAGAAGTACCTAATACACAACAAGCATTACATTTTAATCTCCCTGAAACTCCTGACTGCCTCAGAAAGCAGGGAGATCATCTCAAGACGCAGTTTTCAGACATCTTAGCTGTTGAGACAGAATAGACGGTGCATTTGGCTCAATAGCACTGCACAAGAGTAGAATGTGTACCAGGCGAAGAAGAAAAATCCAGTGACCAAAGCGGGATTCTTGGCGAGAAAGCCTTGAGCCTCTTCCGTTCTCTCCATCGCAACCCTGCGCGATTGTTGTAGGGCTTGTAAGTAGATGCAACTGGTAATTCATCAAGTTGGTCTGAATTATGATGTTAGGTGAAATGTTATATTCGATTTTTTACTTACATGAGCACAATATAGTGATTAGGAAAAGGAAATCAGTGGAATCGTTTGAACTCCTAGTCAATAGCAGCTTCGGCTTCCTAGGCAGCCCAGGCCAGTGTTAGCATTCTACTACAAAATGCACGGTCCTTAAGATGGGTGCTGTTTAAGAATTGTACCGATTGCCCGCTTCCTAAATATCGTAGAGCATTTGCAAGTGTAAAGGTGGTCTAGATGAAGTTGACGAGATGCTGAATCGACTTCGTGTAATCCCCAGGTCAAACATGAATTACGGTATTTAGGGGTAATAGTGAACGGACGCAAGTAAGTTGCATGCGTTAATCACTTTTAGATGTTACACAATTAGCACTGTTGGATTTCGAGGTGTCATTAGAACTATATTTGTACGATCGAACTTGGTAACGCCGCATAGAGTCACAATGAAAAACAGGACGTATTGTTCATGGAAACTTAAAACTTTGGAAGACCTCTACAGCAAGGGCATTGGCCATGGTGAAAGTGTAATGAAGATTGTTAATGAAACGTTCTTCCCTGCCAGACTTTACATTGAAAAATGCACCTTAACGTTAATTGGCTATTGCTTCGTTCTAGGGTCTTAATGTTTCTGAGCACGTTTAAGACCCTTTATACTAATCTGGGTGCTAGAGAACATTAGGTTTCATCCGATATCAGGGCTCGAGATATTCTGATGAGTGATTTCGCCAAGTTAGGATTCCTAACAAACCTTAACTTATACTCTCAAACGCATCACAAAATGGCCGCTTCAACTTCATGAGACACTTTCCCATTCGACCCAAAATATGCTAACTAAACATATCATCAGATCGCACTGTACCTGGACACGTACACCTGGTTTCTATAATCGTTAAAAGAAGAATCACCGACACTGCAGGTTGGGCAGGTTTATACTCCTCGCATTCAACTATCTCATAAGGATTTAACAACAAAACGACAGTCTGATTCACAAACACGAAGTGACAGGTACGCTTAGGCTCTTTCTCAATACTCCGATACAACTCCAAAGAGAACGTCAAAACTCACTTTTCCGATCAGCTCCGCCCTACTTCGATACCAACTTTCAAAATATGGGCATGGACGAGAAGACAGACCAACAAACGAATCTTCAAAAGACTAAAGGACAAACTACACAGGACTATCACGTGATCGATTTGAATGTTCCTACAAAGTTTTTTCTTCAAAACGATCGCCTCCACGAATGAAATGTATTTCTAATATCTATTAGCATACTTTAGATACGAATAGATTCTTAAAAAGCACAACTATAATCCCCAAAAACAAGACATAACAAAAAGAAACGCCCCATATCTTCTTGTACACATAACGCAAACCCCTATCCTCAAACTGCAGCAACGAACACAACCCAAGCACAAACCAAAGAAGCGATCGATCGATCGATCAATCAAACAAGAATCGCACAGAAGCCACTTACTCAGGAGCTTCATCGCCAGCAGCATCCGATGCACTCGCCATGCACACCGTCGACCCCACATTCTTCCTCACATTCACGGCCTGCACGTTCTTCAAACCCAGGCTCTGCAACAACGGGTTGAACTCCGACCCTCGCGCAACCACGGGCTTCGCAAGGAACGACGATCGCAGAGAAGGCAACCGGGCACTGATCTGATTGGGAGCTCGCCCTGGCTGCTGCTGCAGCGGCTGGAAGACAGCAACGGGAGATCGGCTGGAAATTCTAACCCCAGAACCTTCAGAGGGGTTAGAAACGGACCGGAACCCAGCGGCATTGAAGCATGAGGCGAACGTAGAGCCGGCTAATGCCGCGGGAGCGAAGCCTGCCATCGCAAGTAGGGGTGAGAGAGAGACAGCGAGCGAGAGGTCCGAAAAAATTCCCCGCTGCTGATGCTGCGAGCGCACTTGTGCTCTGGGCCGTGAAGCTCCTCCGCACTCTCAAGGAAGGCTATGGCATCTTCAGCACGCTCTGCGCTGCCATCGTCCGCCCCACACGACCCGTTCCGCCCCGTCTCACCCGAGCCCGGCCCGTGATTCCAACGGCCGGGCAAGGCCGGGCCGGGTGGGTAGGCAAGCAGCGCCCCGCCAACCCCTTGCCTACCAAAGAGTCGGGCGGCACGTGTCATCTGGTGCATCGCTGCGACTTTTGCCCTAATGAATAGGCCACAATATCTTTAGTCTCCGAGTTCACGCGATCCTATCTGTTCCACTCGCTAGTTCCATGTTCCCCACCAGTGAGAACATGGGAACGTTTCCCCCCCACTTCCCTTTGCTCCCCAGCAATAATATTCGCAGCGTCCCCGTGCGTTCCCAATCCGTTCCCCTCGCTGATGCTTTTGTCTCGTTGTGGTGAGGGATCTAAATATTTTTGTTATTTAATTGTTGTTTCCAACGGAAAAAACTGAAAAAAGAAATGGGTTTTTTTTTTTTTTTTTTTTTTTTTTTTTGATGATGTGATGAAGAGGCAATTTGAGAGAGTGTGTAGGGTGTGTGGACCCTTGCATGGTGTGATCATGCTTCTCATGTAGTGTCCCATTGAGTCTTTTTTGCATTTGACCAATTGTGGGAATGGGGTTTTGAGATCATGGGGTGTGCATTGCAAGAATGTGCCACTCTTGTGGATCACATTAAATTTCTCACTTTGATGGAGGGCACAAATGTTTGACATTGTGTTTTATTGTTTGTTATTTTGTTTGTTTGTTTTTTTTGTTTTTGTTTTGTTTTGTTTTTGTTTTTTTTTTTTTTTTGTATTATGTCTTTTATGTTCCTTTTTGAGAGGATAAGAATAAACAAATAAAAAAAGGAACTTATGGGTAGGTTTACACCTTTGCCTGGAGCCCACAACTCACCTGCATTGTTATTACAATTAAAATAATATGGTAATGGGCTTTGGTGAGAAGTTTTTTTTGCAGGCATTTATAAGTATGTCTAACACAGAGAATTAGACATCAATTTTATTCTAAAGTCCTTGTTAATGATTTTAGTTTCAACTCTAGTTTTCAAAATTCTAAAGTGCCACTGCTATGGTGACTCAAAGAATTTATATATATATATATATATATATATATATAGTTTAAATGTATTTCAATGTTATTTATTCCCTGTTTATTAACTCTTTATTGAAAGTATTCAAGAGGCTTCTTGCCAGTATACATGGAAAAAAAGTTGATTTCTTATAATAACATGCAGACTGAGGTTGTTTTTTAAAATTTATTTGTTATTTAGAAATTGGTTATTTGTAGCATGACACCTTTACATAATATTAAAAATAAAAATAAAATGAAAAACCATGGAAGAACCATAACTGCATTCAATACAAGAAATTTACTTTGATTTTTTAGAATCTTTTGGACATTTAACATACACACAGAGTAAAATGATTTTGTTAATTTTATTCTGTTGGTCTTTATTTTTTATTTTAAAAATTAAAATTAACATACAAATCTCTATATAAAAGTTACAATTTCAGATTAATCTAAGAAAATCATGTTACTAATAGGATGGTGCTTCTAGTCTACTTATAATTTTTTCTAATCACAATTTTTCAAAGTAATTTATAGCATCATATCTTGAATTATTTTAAAGTGTTTTACAACACATGTTATTACGATTTATACACAATATTATTTTTTGTTTAAGAGAAATAAAACTGTTTGAATGTCTTTTGTTAACTCTTTCATATTGCACTAAACATATATAATGGAAATAATGTAAATAATGTAAATAATAATAATAATTCATTCTAAAACTAATTAATTTAAATCTATTAGCTGAAACATATATAATGGAAATAATGTAAATAATGTAAATAATGTAAATAAATCATTCTAAAACTAATTAATTTAAATCTATTAGCTGAAAGATTATTCATTTCTAATGGTTTCAAAGTGTTTGTGAATTGTATTAAAGATATCAATAGATTATATTACTTTAAAAACTTATTATAGAAGTTTTATTTTACAAAGAAGTCACTGAAGAAGAGTCCTACGATTTAGATGCTTGGATCCTTAACTTTGCGGTCCTCAAGAAGATTTTGTATGGCTTCTTAAGTATAGATGGATGTAAAAGTAAGACCATCTTTAATTTTTTCAATACCTTTCTTGTACTTTGGTCTTTGTACAAGGACTTATAATTTATTTGTACTTGTTTTAACAATAGATGCCTTTTTATTCCTTTATTCTCCCTCAAGTTCTTGTGGTTTATGTCTGAACCAAATACCAGAAATTGAATATTAAAAATTATTATTCTTGAATTTCTTATAATTATAATATTATACCAAATTCTATAAGGTTTTATTTATAAAAAAACATATGTGTTTTAATATTTTATTATGGTTTATATTGATTTATTGTTTGTAACTTATGTTATGATAAAAATGACTTTAAAAAACAAGCATCTTTTATAAGCTTTGTAACAAACATAGTTTTCTTATCATATTTAATTTTTTTTCTTAACTGGCGTTTCTGGACGTTTCCCTAATTAATTTGGTGCCATTGAAAAGAAATGTCTCATAAATTAGTTTTAGTTTTAGAATATATATATATATATATATATATATATATGTGAAATTTTAAATTTATTTTTTTATGTGTATAAATTTAAAGTTTAATATGTTTTATAAAATTGAAAATAATATTTTATTCTATTTTATTATTTTTCTATGTTATTTTTGTCCATTGGAATCATTTGAATTATTTAGTTTGTTTCACCTCCACTATCTACTATCACTTCTATTTCTTTATTATTATTTTACTATAGAAATGCCAAAACCACAATTATTATCATCACACTTCTTTTCTGCATGTGCAGAACCTTCTTATACTTTTTTTGTATAGTTTTTAAAGGAAATGAGAAATTAAAGACAAATCATCTCCCATGAAACAAAGTTATCATATATATATATATATACACACACACACATACATAATTTTTTGTAACCATCTAAGATTTATTTTTATTTTTATTTTGATACATTCTACAATAGAGCATGCTATATTGATTGTTATGCAATTTTTTAATCCTAATGTGATAGAAGAAAAAACTAATGTAAAGTATAAATATAAAATCCCTTTTACTTGACATTTGTTTTAAAAGAATATATTTTGGGCCTCTTTGCACTTTGAAAAGAAGATAAGAGGGTCAGAATGTTAAAATCTATTAATTGGTTGTAGTTAAAAAGTCTCACTTAGTTGGCTTCACACTTAGAAAATCAGCCCATAATTCGTATGAAGAAAAAATAAAATGGAAGGCACTCGGCTGAGTCAGCACCCGCCCGTTCATTGTGAACCGAATTCAGTTGAAATGGGATCCAACCGTCGGCTGACTCATCCAGCAGTAGGTGCCACCGTGGCAGCCATCCTAGTCAGCACGGGGCTTCAGCCGAATGTTCAAAACGCATATGCCCGCCTCGTTTCAAATCCGAGTAGTGCCACTTCGCTCCTCCTCCTCCGTGCTCTCGATCATTTTCGCGTCATCACGGTTTGCCGCATCGCTTCACGGCGGCACTTTTTCCCGCGAATTCGTATTGAAATTTGAAAAGTGTGCAGCGCTGGCGATGAACTCAATCTCGTCCTGCAGCTCTACTTGCATTGGCGATGAAGCTCTGAAATCCGAGGAGGTTTCTCGCAGTCTGTCTGATTCCCGAGTCATGAACAACTACAAGGTCGTGTGTGTTTGTGAGTAGAGTTGAAGAGTGACAATCTTCATCTTCAGTCGAATTACCGTGTGATTAGAAAACATCGGGACTCCGCTTGAAGCTCAGTGACTTTAATCAACCCTGTACGTTGAAAGGCTTACCATGTCTGCACCGGAGGTTATTCATCCCTGCCCAGCTTCTACATACTTTGCATGTAAATTTCGGGAACATGCATAGGAGAGCTACTCGTGGCAAGTGCCTGATCGTGTCACTGTGTTGATCCGGTGGTTTCTTGGCTTCGGGTAGTGTATTCTGTGTTAAATGCATGATTCCAAATACATATAATACTAGCTCAACTTACTCCATGGAGAGATGCTCTTTGCTTTTGTACCGATGAGGGTGTCTTGCTGCCAAATTCTAAGTAACCATGGGTATTGCGGTGTACTCGGTTCTATGCCGTTCACATCTTCCGGTCGGTGAGTTCTTAGCTTCCAGATTCCAGTCAATTTTGAGTAAATCCTCTTGGGGGTAGACTCTACAGATATTATGACATCGATCAGGAACGAACGATGATGTCTATCCTTCAATCCTTGACATCAGCGATACACTTGGTGGTTCGAAATTGTGTTTTTGAGTTTTTGCCTCTGTTGCTTGAAGTTCAATACGACGAATAAAGGAGATGAGTTAACATGAGAGTGTGCCTCAGTCAACGATATTTTGAGAATTGTCGTTTTTCCAAACAATTTGTCTCATTATGGCCGTCTTCGACAAAACAACCATCAAAAGGTGATGCAGTAGTTGTCGGAGGCTGCATGTCTCGCTCTAAATTCAATTAAGGTGACTTACGTGTTTATCGATCCACATCATAGGGAGGCTATTATCCAATCCTCCGTTGATACCTCAAACAATTCTGGTACTTGGGTGGAATTAAATCCGAGTAATCTCTGTTTTCTTTGCCAGCAGGAGCTTACGAACGTAGAGAAAAAATGTAAAGAACAAGCCGAGGAGATTTCAAAATTAAGGTACTGTTCATTCATGATTGTTGGAATAGAAATATGGACCTGAGTACATGCCACAGGATGTCATGTTCTTCGTCATTTGTCCATTGGTTGTCCACATATTGATGTGGTGCAGTCTTGAATAGTGAAACTCATAATGAATTACACGCAGGGAGGTGTTGGCCATTATCGGAAGCGGAGAAGGAGATCTTCGTGAAGTAAAGATTCTCGAGTTGTTTAAGAAGGTTTAGATCCCAACATCTTGATTTGTATCAAAGATTCTTACTCGACAACCGAACGACGTGTATATACACCTTGATTTTGTAAAGTTTGCTAGGATGTTTGTCTATCAAACTCTTAACAGGTGCTGTTCAATTCGTTTATCAAAGACTTTGTGACCGAGTAGCAAGCGAAAAGCCCTATTTATTTCACAGGGGAAGGTTTGAAAACATAACCAGGTATTTGGAGCAGCTGAAATTTGAGTCGGTTGTATGGCTTGACAGAATCGACTGCTGAACTTGCAATTGGAAAGGGAAAGAACTCGAAATAATAATACACGGAGGGCCGTGGCGGTCATGCAACAAGAGGTTTGAATTCTCTATGCGCATCCTACACATGCTCGGCCGTAACCTCTCAATCACACGCAGAGTATACAGCGTGCGGTTCAATTGCAAAGTTCATAAGAACATCACACGCTTCCTGAGTGATATGATTGCTTGTGGTGTCCAGATGCTCAACATGCAGAGTGCAAAGCCCCCCGAAAGTTCTATTAAAGAAAGCACAGACGACTGGGAGGACAAGTTTCACAGGGTGAGATGACACATGTATGTTGTAGAAACCTGGCAGGTATGCCACATGTTGATCTACTTGTGCATATGTAGGGAATTACTGTTAATTTCTTCACGAACTACGAATAAATCCCGTGTTCAAGAGTTGTGAAGATAGTCCAACAATCAACAGCTATTTTGTATATGGTTGCCAGAAACTTCAGCCAGACCAGCATGCTCAGCCAGACCTGATCGAGAGAGCTAGATGTAAAAAGATTTTGAAAATTTCGATGTAAATGAAGGGAAGGTGCATGGTGGGAGGATCAGGTGAAACATAAACTTGAAATTATACAAGCAAACGAGTCCATTCTAGAAAAGCAGGTTCAGAGGTTGCATCACGTCCTTCAACGGGAAGTTGGAGAGCATATCCCTCTAGCAAAGGTGCATATTCTATTCCTTTCTCATCATTGGAGTGAAGAGCAAGAATTCAAAGGTGGGTAAAACAAATCTCCAAGAAAAAAACCCACCTCATTAAATCACTTTCACATTTGTCCATGTGTCTGTCTTCTGCAAGCACGGAGCTGGGTATGCCTATTCTTTGAAGTTTGCAATTTTTAACTAAGTATTTAAAACCATGTGGGCAAGACATTTCTCTTTTAAGTATTAATCTTTGTGACTTTGAAATCTACCGAGATTCACATCTAAAAAATCTTTGGAGTAATAAATGAGAAAACAACTTAGTTGTATTGTTCAAAGATATGACATAAATGCAAAAGAAACACCTTGAACTAGCTTGTGTCCAATTAGTTGTAGAAGTAGTTGTCCATATTTTACTACCATTAACCGGTCTTATTTGATTTAGGATAACATTTTTTTTAAGGGGTAATATTATCCAAATTTGATAACTATTAGTGTGATGTTCCCAGGTACAACAAAGTGAAACTTATTAAATATAAACTTTAAAAGTAATGTTTAACAAATGTTTGATTTTTAAGGTTTATTTCAAGTTCACGAGTCTTTGTGACGAAATCTTGAAAACTAACTTCTTCTCTAGCTTGCAAGATAAAAATTTCCAACAATATTTTAACTTATTTTATGGTATTCATTTCTTAAAAAAATTTAAGCTAATAATAATTTACATATATCATCATTCTTTTGTACACACTGGTAACAAACATATATATATATATATATATATATTTATTTATTTATTCTCAGTGATAGAGCATTCATTTACATATATTCCTTGATATTTTACATTAAAAGGTTATTGATGTAAACAATAACTATAGTTATATTTATCCCAAATTGTATACATTTGTGAAGGTTGTAGAAGAAGGCACTGGTTGGGTAGGAAGAAGTGAACTCATTTCTAAACTGAAGGTGTGTTTTTTGTTTCTTAAATATGATTATTTAAACAACTGATTTGAAGATTATACACAAACATATACATTCATATTTGAATTTTATTCATATTATTTTGATACTGTCCATGGTTTTAGAGTTGAAATCAGATTTTAGATTGTTACCAAGTTTGTTACAATGTATCATGATTATGACATTATTATTATTATCATTTGTGATCATCAGTGTATTTGGTCAGAAAATTTAATTGTACTCAAAATGTTCATGTGATGGTATAGGGCAAGGTTGAAGAGCTAAAGGCTCAGGTGAAAATACTGCAGCCTGCTCCCCTTGAAGGATATACAACAATTAAAAATGATGAGCACCACACTGTTGAAATTCTACATAGGAATGAATTAGAACGTTTGGATGTAGAAAGGCGCCTCCAGTATGACAAGTTGATCCATGATTTTCTGGTATAGCCATCTGACTGAGAATTTTTCTGTCTTGTATATTATCTTATAACTGCTAAGTTCACAAATGTCACTTTTGAAATTGGTGAATCAGCCTTACAATGCCAATATTTTGTTTACTAATAGACCCTTAGAGCTTCTTGGGGAATGCAAAAGAAAAGACTAGATGGAGTAATAGCAAGGCGAAATATCTTAGAAAAAGAGGTATTATGAAATCTTGATATTTTTTGTCTGACAATCAACCACATTCAGTTTCCATGTAAAAAAAAATTAAGATTCTTAAGTTTTTAATTTTGAACCTCATAAACAAGTAAAGTGAAACACTATTAAGTTCAACAGTTTTTGCAATTCTACTCATGTGTATGCTGAGTACACTTGAACAGTTAACATCAGCCAAATCAAAATTACAAATACTATTGACTAAAAGCATCAATGATGATACATTAATTCAAGCTCTCACAATTGAACTTGCTGCAGCAAAACAGGTAATCTTATTCAAGTTGCATACCATTATCAAATTGTTGTAGATTATAATGTCCACAAGGAATAACTTGCAATGTCTTGGAGACAATGTGGAATCATGGTTTGCCAATACAAAAAGAAACGTACTTTGGCTTGTGATTTCATTTGATCATGTCTGAACTATACTACCCCATTTGATTATTAATACATTGTGGAAAATGTAGGCAAATGGACCACCATTTCCCAAGCCAGGAGGACCATTGCAATTGGATCATCATGCTCGTTGCCACAAGCTTGCAGCTTCTTTCCATGAGTTGAAGAGCCAGTGCCACATACAGGTCAATTCTTCATTTATATGTACACTCTTACATTATGTTTCACATATCATCTTTGGTAGAACTAAAAATAAAAATTATAAGAAAGAAAGAAGTATGTTATTGAATATACATCATCTTGATTGTAAACTGAGTTTGTCTCTACCCACAGGAAATTTGTCTGAAAAATCAAGAAGAAATTATTCAAACATTCCAAGATACCATTGAGGACCCCAGCTGTGATGGTATATTATTTTCAAATTAATTTGATTGTTTTGATGCATAATATTAAATTGGTTTGGCAAAACAACCTTGAGACTGGGACCAAGGGATGAACATAGTCCCATGAAATTTTGATTTGCCCTGCCCATTGTCTCAAAAGCAATAGGTGGACAGCCTAAAATTTCTATAAAAATATTAGAACAATGACACAACTCAAAACAATGAAGTCTGAGTAGGGTAACAAGTGAGGGGTTGTAGGAGTAGGGGTTGTGGGATTGATTCTCTAAGTTGAGAAGGGTGGTGAGTGTACACCCCACACTTGGCATCAGGGTCAATTTTTTGCTTATTTTTGGAAGTTTGCACACCCCCCCCCCCTCCCCCCCCCTTGAGGCTGGACACACTCAAAAATTTTGAACCTGTGCAAAATGGCAAATGGGTGAACTCCAATTTCAAATGTTCATCTTTGATTGGTTCCTGCATGGGAATTGTTTGCTCTTGACCAATATTAAATAGGAAAATAGCTCTCTTAAACAAATTGTAAATCTATCAACACACAAGTATTCAATTGTAGTGAAATATGCTCTTATTTTTTCAATGTCCTTTTACTCATTGTTGGTGGCTACTGTTGTACAGATTGGTGTACTGCTGAATTGTATCAAGAATCACACCAACCTGAGGTAGTTTTTGTACCAGTTGAAGCTCAACTTTTCAACAATGATAGGATTACAGATCCCCCATGTTCTTTAGAAGCCTTGTGTGAGCAATTTGAGTAGGTATGTGTTGCACTAGGCCTTTTGTTAACTTGATGATGTTAGTGTATGTGAGGAAATTTTGCTCCAAGGCAAGGAGCTGAAATGGCACAAAATTAAAAACAAGATCCCTATTGCTTTGATATTTTAAAGTTTTAAAAAATGTTTTTATTCATTGTAACGAGAAAAAAAACTTGTCCTTTTGACCATTGTAGGTATTTACAATGCAATAAATTTTGAACTAAATCCATTATTTCACAACCTTGGATATCATTTTAAGTACATTGTTGCTTACATTGTGGAGCATGCAACAAAAATAAGTTTCTATCAAAAAGCTAGCAATTTTATTCAATGATTTTATTATTATTATTATTATTATCATCATTTTTTCAAACACACACATAAACACAAACACAAAATTACATGAAAAGGCAATAGTACAGAAATGAGAATGAAATACACTATGCATTTATCAAAAAGTGTTTGTTTTATGGAAATGCTTGAGGATTACCAAATCAAAAGCACAAACATTCTGCTTTGATGGGAAAGTACTCTCCAAACTCTGCAGCAGGGTGCAACATCCAATCTGTAGTTTTCAAACACCTAGAATTAAGTCCTATTTGTGGATTGTGATATCAAGGATACAATTGGTATTTATCTCTGTGTGAGTACATTCCTTTGGCGAGATCATCTTTTGTCTTCTTGTTTCCATGCTTATGTACATGATGTGTCATTGCTCTCTTTGGTGCAAGTAGCAAAAATAGTTAATAGAAATTATTGTTATCCCAATATTTCTCTAGAAAGTAGCTAGTTATCTAAACTCACTCAGATCAAAGAGTGGTCTGTGAAGGTGTAGTGGATTAGATGGATTGCAGTGTGAGTACAAGTATTTGTTGTTCATATTCTCATGACTGTTAGTATTCTCATGTGTAGTTTAAGATGACAACAAGTTCACATGGACAGTTTGAATCAACAATTGTTTGACCTAAGTGCATGTATCAAGAAGGATTAGCATTTAGGAATGTACTTGTAAGGTTGCATGCTTTGTTGAGTTGTTAGGCAGTTGTTGTACTTAGCTTTGGTTGAGTATTTTTCCAAGTTTTTATTTGTTTGGATTATTACTTGATTAGAATTTTGCATATATATATATATATATATATAGGTTGGGCATAAAAAACTTTGTTGTGGCTTAATATAAATGCTATGGGTAATATGAAAAAGTATTTTTACTTAATATGGATGATTGTAATTTACATTAGAACACTTTACTACAATAGAATTAAAGTAGTAATTTCTTGTCTATATGTTCAAAAACATGTAGTATATTAAATCATTCCAAAGATATTTCAAAAACTATGTAATTTATACAAAAAATGAAGTTGAAGGGAGATGAATTAATCAATTTCCTAAGTGATTATTAAGCTTTAAATTGTAGGTTTTGGAATGAAGTGATTAAAGGTAGAAAATTAAATGTCGATTTAAAAAAGTAATATTATTTATGTGTATAGAGATCTTTGATGTAGAGGTATTAAAGAAGCAAATATTTGTTTACTTGAAGAAATGGATTTAAAAATGATGCCTCGGAGCCGTCCAGCGATGGCGGGCATCAAAGGGCCCTCTGCAGCCGAACGTCATGAGTGCGTATGATTATCAACGCAATTCATTTCTACTTCCACAGCACACCGCACAACCCCTCTAAAGGAGCTGCCTCCAATACTTAGCCCACGTCTGAGATTGAGATTGTGTCGAGTGTTGAATAGAACCTTCAATGCCTCGCAGACCCTCCACAAAACACAACTCTTGTAGCGAAGCTGACTCGGACACCGAAAGATCTCGCACACGCCTACATCCTAAGAGACCATGCTCTCACCAAAAAATTATATATACCACTCCACCGATGACGACGCCACATCGGTGCTCTGGATTTGGGTTTTATATGTCCTGGAAATCCACAATGTCGATATTGATGCGAGTAAGGATCTTCATTGACAGACTCAACTGGAAGCAGGTTGCAATCAGACAATTCTTGTTTCGAGAAGTACCATGATTCTATGCATCAGTTCCACATTGAAGCAAAGATAATTGCAATATAAATGTAGCTAGGACGCAATCACTCCACGCTAATCGAACGCAAATCCTACATAGGTAACGACACCGGAATAGTTGGAGACGCGGATAAAGTCGATTCACTTCCGAAGACATTGTCTTTTGACTCAGTCTACCCTGAAGAGGAATTCAGAGAAACTGCAAAGGTTGCACCAGAGTGCCCACCATGAATTGATAGATAGATTCTACGCTCATTCCAATATCATGCAGGCACAAGAAACATCTTCTCTGTTCCCAACAACTTGCGGAGTTTCGGTCAGGAAATTTTGAAATTTTGAAACACCGTCCTCAGCAACGGAAGGGTGGATATATGCTGGACGAAATTAGAAACCAGGAAATGTGGATCTTTTCCACTATAAAACAGCCTCTCATTTTTCAACTAGTTCTATCAACATTCTGAACATATCCACCGCGGTCTGCTGCATTGTTGGTTCTCATATACACCGAACATACACGTGCAGAAGTAGCTGCACATGCTCATACATCATACAATAGAGCTGCCCGATTTCAAGTGTATAAATCTTACAATTTATTTAATTTTATATCTTTTGTAGGTTTTATGAGAATATTGGTTCTTAATGATAATGCAACAACTTCTTGAATTTAATATTTTCATTTTCATAATTATAGTATTCAAGCTTTAGATAAGGCAATTGGAGCTATAATATAGATAGAGCCAATTACATTAGTATAATGCAAGTATTTAGATATATTTGAAATGACAAAATTATTATAAGCAATTAATTTTTTAATCCTAGATTTGTACATGTATGTGTGTGTGTGTATATATATATATATATATATATATATATAAAAGAAAAAATCCATTTAACAAGCTAAATAATTTTCAAAATCATTTAGCTATTGAATCATTTCTTAATATACAATATTTGTTGTGAATTGAAAAATTGTAGTTCTTCATTTAGCTAACAAAGAATTTTTGCTTTTAACTATTGTGGATTGTTTTCTCAAACAAATTACATATCAAACAACAATATTGTATTACCAAATACGTGCTCCTACCAAAGCATTTCACAATGCATAATATTGGTTGTAGAATTTCTATTTTTAGAAAACAAAGACATCCACTATGCATGTGGTTCAAGAAAGTATAATTAGAATATTAAAATTTTAAATATTAAAATTATATGTGTGTATATACATATATAATATTTAGAATAATATGTGCTAAGTTCATTCATGTTTCAAAGTTGCGAGGGATACTTTGATTCCTTTCATGTTAAAAAGAAATTCCATCATTTGAGGTATAAAAATTTGAATATGGGAAAAAAATTTAGAGCATTTTCCACTGCAAATTTTTTACAAAGATGAGTGGAAATCAACTACATCTTTGACCAACAATTTGTAATATAATGTCATAAAATATTTTGCCTTTTTTCTTTCTTTTTACAAACACCATATGCAAAATAATATTACATAATATTGTATTTCAAACCATAATTACAAAGTGATCTGAAAGATCCTATATTTTATGAAATTTTATGAAATTCGTTTTTAGTATATTGTATAAAAAATTAGGACATATTCAAAATAAATATCAGAGATGAATATTCAATATTTTGGAAAGCAGAATTCATGAATGAAAATACAAAAATAAATATATATGTATATATATATATATATATATATATACACACACAAACTTGAGTTTTGTGTTAATGCCTTGAAAGAGATTACAATAAAGATAGATTAGTAAAATTAGTATTGCATTGCATTGTGATATGGGAAAAGCACACAGAGAACTTGCTACAACTAATGCACATATAATTAACAAACATTTATTAACCACAGCCAATCACTGATTTTACTGGACAGACAGACACCATTTTTTTAATACAAAGTAGATATATAATATTTTTATGCTCCAAGAGATACATCCTCTTTTGTCATGTCATTGTATGATTGCAAAACTGCAATATGTTGAATGCATTGTAGCAAAAGACTCTTGGAGGGTGATTGAGATTTGATACCTGATTTTATTATGAGGTTGAAAGTAAAAACAACAAAATCAGATTATTTTGAAATAGTTTTGATACATATAAGAGAATTTGATTGAGTTTTATAATTTTAAAATAAAACACTTTGTTTATTTTTTCACTCACCTCATTGAAGACCAACTTAATTTTTTAGGTGATTATATGTATATAATACATTCAAATTATTATTGAATCTATTTAAATAAAACTTTGGTATTTGGTGTTTAATACAATACACATTTTTATTGCAATATAAATAAATAAATAAATAAAATTAAGTATATTCAATACATGTTCTGATGCCAAACCTTTTAGCATTATTTTATTATTAACAAGTTTTTTTGAAAAATATTTATTCTGTTTTTTATAAAATGACAATTAATTATATTATTGTTAAAAAATATTAGAATTATATAAATAAACATTTTAAATATAAATGATTGTAAATTTAATAATGATAATATTCAATTAAATAGTCTTTTGAATTTTTTGCTTATGTAATATAATATTTTAATATCATTGATTATTTTGTATGATTATTATAATCATGTTTATTTTTTATTTTATTTAAAGATGATAGAAATATTGATAATATCTCTTTATAAAATCAAAGATTCCTTACCAATAGGAACATAAGATGTGTAAAAGAAATCCATGATATGTACAAATCAATAACATTCGAATTTCTTTTATACTTAGAAATATGGATAAAGAAGATTTACAATCTCATCAAAGTGTATTTTCTTAACATCAAAAAACATATATTGTATCTAAGCAAAATAGTTAACATAAAAATGAATGTAAAAAATAAAAATGATTGTGGTACAAAAAAGGAGAGCATATAAAAATAAAGATCAACTTGTTTAATAAGGAATAAATAATGATAAGAAAACAACCCAATCTAATGTTGAATATAGAAATTATAAATAAGATTGATAATTCTAAGAACGTTATAATATTGAAAGTATAAGTGTGAAATGTGAATATTCTAGAACCTTGCATTTGCTAAATAAAAGAGTAATTCATTTAAATAAAAAAATCTAAGATTAAAAATTAAAAATTTTAAAATTTATCATTAACAGTATATTACTAAAAAATTTCTTGAATGGAGCTAAAAAAATGATATTTTATTTTATTTTATTCTATTTTTCCTCTAAAAATAAACTTAATAAGAAT